GCAGCTTGTCTGACCGTTTCACCGTTGATCCCAGAGTAAACTGACTCAGGAAACTCGTCATCAATCGGCCCAAACAGGAGTGAGCCCAATTTGGCTGGTTGAGGATTGGGGTGTTTTTGCTGTAGTTGCGCGATAACTTCATCGGTCAGCGGTAATACACCACCACTAGTACTTTCGCTGAGGAAGCGAAGTGCTGAATTTATCTGATCCTCGAGCACGAGTTTGGTGAACACTTTCGATCTATCAGGTGGATCTGTAGATCTGAGTTTGCCTATTCGACTTTGAATAATCCGACCTTCGCGCAGCAACTTGTTGATTTCCCCGTCTTTCCACTGTACAAGACGTTTTGACAACAGCTCCTGGTGCTCTTTGGCTTTCGACTTGGGACCAGGCTTCTGAAGGCCTACTGCAAGGAGCACAATCATTATTGTTGTTATTGTTATTATTGTTATTATTACTATTCTCATGATTATTATTATTGTTATCATCATTATCATTGCATTTTGGTTAATGATTCCTTTTTCCTGTTTTAAATTTTTAGGATTCGGCACTTCCCTATTGAGCTGACACCAAGTGGCCGCTACGTTATTGGCAAGCATGCGTTCGACGGTTTGACAGAGATCGTAACATTTTACAAGACCCACGCGTTATTTTACACTCAGAACAAAGAGGCGATCACCCTCGGTGAATCATTCCGAGGAATGTAGAACTTATGTTAGTAGTATACAGTCCTCGCTAGCCATGGTACGACCCTACATGCTGGTGTCGTGAAATTACGTGACACCCAATATATTATTGTGAATTGATCTTTAAAATTGAAGTTTCACATCAAGAGAAAATGGGCGTAGAAAGAGAGGGACGATCAGGGTGTTGGCTATGTTAATTCCACTTCAATTACTTTTTGTTTCCTCTGACGATCGCAATGTGAAGTTTTAGTCCAAGAAATACCATTTTTCGTCTGTCTATACCCTTAGATGATGGATATGAAATTAAAATATCCCAAAGGTCCTTCAGGCCCAACCCATTAAGTCTCCCTCCGTCTGTCCCCTCTTTTAACGATTTTTTTTTTATCAACTGACTTTCGCTGAGTTTGCATGTAGCATGCAGCACATTTTTCCCACAGGAAAACCACTCACTCGAATTGAAAAAAAAAGATATGACCTGGAGCTAATAAAAAGGTACTTTGGTATAAAACAAGAAGAAATAATGCATCTAAAAAGAGATTTCCTCATGTTAATATCACAAAAATTATATATATTCAATGGTAAAAGGCCGAGACAATTCATATGTAACAATTTGCGCTGTTGTTAGAGATATAAAATATTTTAATGAAAGTAATATGAAGGAAGTTATTTAGAGATATTTTATTCCTGTACTTCTAAGCAGCGCATGAATACATGGAGCCAAGGGGGGTTTCTTTAAGAACTTTTATGTTGTTACAGGTATGTTTTAATGCTTTCAAAAAACGTCTGTCTAAAACTGATGAATAAATGAATGTAACCCAAGTAACACCAGCGTTTGAATAAAAATAGTAAAAATGCCAAACTAACATAATTTGTTCTCGTAAGTTGCCAGTTTTCAGATTCTTCATGGGATTATCGAAAACAATAGCCCATTTCCGAATTACCCTTGGCCTCTTTTTCAAAACGAGGCCCGGTGCTCAACCATTCTTGTGAAACCCAGTTTAATTTTCATGTGAATGAAACCTTATTATCATATGAAAGGATGAGCACCAGGACTCGTTTCGAAAATGAGGCCAAGGGTAATTCGGAAATGGGCTCTTCCATACCCTTTTGGTTTGTATTGTTTGAAACACAGACGTGAAATTGTTTTAAGTCAAGTTTTCATATACTTCCATACAAACAACAGAGTCAATTGAGGCAACATCTTACAATAATCAGGAGTTAGGTGGAATTTTTTACCCCAGTCAGTGGTACAGTAAAGGCAGAATATAGTGAGAGCAGTTCATCAATCTTGCTGGCCAGCTCGCCTTACAAAACTCTATCTATATTTCATTGGGGGAAATTGCTATGCAATTGCCGTTCAACATGCATAAGTTAGATATGGAAAGTTGTCAAAAAATAATATCATAATAATCAAAACTGAAAGAGAGAAAAATATTACGTCCGATTTTGAAAAAGGGGAAACGAAACGGTAGAAGGAAAAATACCACAGTGGACAAAGAGATAACTGGTCACAAAAGAAGGGAAGATAGCCCGTGCTGCACGTTATTAAATACAGTACATGTCGAACTTCAGTTCGGTCCGCTTTCTCCGATGCTTCAGGAACCCCTTAATTAAAGGAATCAATCAAATTAGATGAGTGTGCCATAAAGGTTAAGTACTTTAATTTCTATGAAATCTCCCATATATGCACAAATTACAACTTCATCATTTCTGTAGATTAAGAAGAAGACTAACGGGACTTGCCGGGGGAAGACAATGGTGATGTCGTTTTTTAAGGATGGAGACAGCATTTCCTACCTTTTTGTTTCGCAACTAGTAACTCCTCTTATCTTAGACCGTTGCATCTTTGTCCAATGGGATGTTAATACTAACAGCATCACTGACAGCGTTATATCGTTATACTACTCCCTAAACGTATACGTAAATAATTCAATGCTAGGTAAGTTCTAGATATATGTGTTTCGTCAAAAGACATTGGTAAGACTCGTGGCCGTTTTATTGCCTGTTTGTGGAAAGGAATGAGAAAAAAAAGCTATTGTCGAAATTGAAGCACGTTATCGGCAAGTTGACATTGGGCAAACATCGCAGCACTTACTGGAGAACAGCTTTCAGTGGATAAGTAAGATATTACTTATAAGTAGTATAAGTAAGATGGATAATTAAGATATTACTTGGATGGATAAGTAAGGTAGATAAGTAAGATATTACGTCTCTTTACACTGTCATTCCTAATGGCGAAGGCCCTCTGGCCCTTAAACATTTTTTTGATCAACGTACTGTTAAGGAACCTAAATCTGAAACAGTACTACGCTTAGCCGAACTAGTGCTCACACTCAATTTTTTTTCATTCGGGGACAACTTCTTCAAAAAAACCAATGGTGTCGCCGTGGGCACCAAAATGAGACCTAGCTATGCCAATCTTTTTGTCGAACACCAATTTTTCAGCCAATACAACGGCTCCAAACCTGAACTCTACGGTCGCTACATCGACGACTGTATCGGTGCTACCTCCTCTACCAGAGAGGAGCTGACTCAATTCATAACCGCAGTCAATTCTTTTCACCCGGCTCTGAAATATACCTGGGAAATTTCTCACAAGTCTTTATCCTTTTTAGACATCAAAGTGTCAATTGAAGGCAACGGTTTGTGCACTAGTGTGTATTACAAACCTACAGACTCGCATAATTACTTGTTATATTAGTCTTCGCATCCATCTCACGTTAAGAAAACCATTCCTTTTTCTCAGTTTCTAAGACTTTGCCGTTTATGTAGTGATGACTCTGATTTCCACCCCAAATCAGTTGTCCTCGAATGAAAAACAATTGAGTGTGAGCACTAGTTCGGCTAAGCGTAGTAGTGTTTCAGATTCAGGTTCCTTAACAGTACGTTGATCAAAAAAATGTTTAAGGGCCAGAAGACCTTCGCCATTAGGAATGACAGTGTAAAGAGACGTAATATCTATTACGTATATTATTATACGTACATTAGAGTTATGTATCCAACTAAATTTACATCATCATTGCCCATAAGTGTCACCTACGGACATTGTTATCCTCGTAGTATGCAAGAAATTTGTCACCATGGACTTACCCAACGGCCTTCTTTGCCACAGGTCTCCCACAGCTCAGGGGTGGAGCGTCCCAAGCACTTGATCGCAAGGTCGTAGGTTCGACTCTTATAGGCAGCATCTGGAGTTTTCTTTTCCCTTAAACTGTGCCTGAGTCATTTTCTTAATAACATCTTTCTTCACTGAAAATATGAAATTAAACTCAAAATTGACCATCTTTATTTACATCATCACTGCACGCAAGCATCACATGGACATTGCCTTCCTTGCAATATGCTGGACGTTTGTCATCATGGACCCAGTTAAACGGCCTAGGTTCCACGAGTTTGTTATAGCTCAGCGGTAGAGTGTCCGAAGTATCAATCGGAGGGTCGTTGATTCGACTCCTATCGGTATCACTAGGAGTATAATTTTTTCGGATCAATTTTACCATAGGTAGTGTCGACCGACATGGCGACCGACATGTCGACCGACATGTCGACCGACATATCGGTCGATATGTCGGTCGACAGTTGGTCGATAGTCGGTCGATAGTCGGTCGATAGGTCGGTCGATAGTCGGAAGATAGTCGGAAGATAGTCGATCAATATGTCGACCGACTGTCGACGACAGATGGAGTGTCGTGTCTCGGTGGAATATCGGTCAAGTGTCGGTGGAATATCGGTCAAGTGTCAGTGGTCTATCGGTCGAGTGTCGGTAGTCTATCGGTCAAGTGTCTGAACTTTATCGGTAAATATAGTTTGAACATCGCTCGTGTGGTTGTGTATTGTTGCAGTGTCGGTATTGAAAAATTTGATTTGAAGAAAAATTTGATTTGAAGGCATAAATTTTCAGGTCCGAACCCACCTAACTCATGACTACTCGAAGGCCTGTACTTCCTATTTTCTTACCTTGGACTTGTGATTAAACTTTGATTCGTCGATCTGCACAATCACACCTGGTCCGCCTAACTGTGGGATCGGGTGACGCAACAATGCTTCCCATGCAACTTTCCGATACTTTCGTGCGAACTTGACCATAACTTTCTGTGAGGCCGTTCCTTCAATTTCCATCATTCGTAACGAACTCTTGTGCGCCCATTTCCAGAGAAATTGCAACTGCCCTGCGATTGAAATTTTGCTTCCAGAGAAATACGAATGTACTCTCACTGACGAAGAGCGTCGACAATGGTGACATCTCCTGTTGAAAAGTGAAGTTTAAGCTATATAGGTATGTCCCGTTCCAAGGGTATAGATTTTGACCATTTTGGTCTGAAATAGGGTGTTGTTTTTGAATTTGAAGCCCTTCCCAAGAGTTTACGAAAACCGTTTACAAACCGTTATCGCAAATCCCGGGTCCACTCCAACTGGTCTGAAATAGTTGAAAGCTATCGAATTTTAGCTCAGGTCCGCAAGGAAAATCTGTAGTTAGATTAATTAAAATTGGAATTGAAATTACTTACCAAATGCGTCCCCATTGCGCAGATAGCGAATGAGACGCATTGCATTCCTACAATTCCCGCAGTTGACATTTCTTTTCAGTAGCCTGTTCCTTTGCAACGAATTTATAATGCGGAGTTTTCCTCTACTGCTTTTTGCAAAAATAAGGGGACAAAGAACTTCTCGAAAAAAGTGGGGCATTTTAGGAAGCTTGGCTTTTGATATACGGCCTCATTAGATCCCTCAGTTCCTCGGCCAGGACCTTACCTATTCCATGGTGGCGGTAAGCAGAACCCGCAGTACCCGCTTTTGAGCACAAATGCTCTACAATTTATGCCAGCCTCACTGTCCTGTGCTTACGGCGATAGCGGGTGCTTGGCTGCTGGATTGTCCGGATTAACACAATCCGTCACATCCTCTCCATTTGTCGAGACATTAGTCGCATCCTCTGAAAGAAACGTCGTCTCCTTCGAAGAAATATGGCGAGAATCAGTACGAGAGAAGTCATTCAAAATGCTTCGTCTCCCGCCATTTTTTCAAAGTTGCGTGCTTTTGTAATTTGAATCTTCTGAGTAAACAGCTCAAATTTCACAGTGAAAACAGATGTCGTTTAACTAGTAAATGTCGGTCTGTAAACAAACACCTAGAAAGAATGTTCAGCTAGCTAATCGGCCTAGTGAAAACACAGCCCAGGACTTTAATAAACCACGAACAGCGAGAGGCACCGTGTCGCAAAACCCCCCATTGCTCTTGTACTTCATGACCAAGACCAATGATCAAAACGTATTTTCATAATCAATCAGGTACAATGAAATAAGCCCAGTATTGCAGGCCCATAGGAAAAACTGCTAACAAGAAAAATTGACTACGGCCTGGAAACGCAAACTGAAATTGATATAAGTTTTACATCTGTTCTTTGTTCACAAAATCCAACACCCAAGTTTGCGGCAAAAAAGTAATTAGCGCGGGAGATTAGTCCTTTGAAGAGTTCGCAAGTAATTGAACCATGTAACTTTTACACTTTTTTAATGTGAGAATTTCAGACAGCAGAAATTTTCTTGGAGACATGCCACTTTCCCACACTCCATGATATCGACCCCAAGAGCGACGCGGGATAAATATATATAACTCTCAGCGAAGAGGATTCGTTGCAGTTGCATTCGGTGTATTCGAGAACATTAACGCGTTATGGCTGCACGACAAAAGACATGTATGATATGTGGCTTATCGGATGGCCACACTCTGATGGACTGCCCTTACCGCTGCGAGTTTTGCGGCGTATCGGTAAAAAATTGTGAGTGCCATGATTCTAGTATTGTAAGCAGCGTTTTGGCGTTGGAGACCCCCGAAAAGGAGGGCACAAGGACCGAAACGTCAA